CTTCATAGTAGACGCACCTGTAGCCTCTTACCTTTCTTGTAAACCCTGACTTAGGGTTGCTACTGTATAAGTCAGAAACATCTTGAAGGCACATTTTTTTTTATTTCATGTCAAAAGCATTGTTAATTAATTAATTAATTAATTTTGCATATTTGTACCTTCTCCTTCTCACCTCGGGAATGAACTCAGGGCAGCTTCACAACAGGCCTTCATTCAAATACCAACTATAGTCATAAATAGAATCCATTTTAAACGATTCATTAAAAACGTTACATTAATAAGACATTTGTTTAAAATTACGCATAAATAAATAAGTTTTAAAAATTGATAAAATCAAGAGAGAGCATGCAGTTAAATAATTTTATTTATTTATTATTTACAGTATTTATATTCTGCCCTTCTCACCCCGCAGGGGACTCGGGGTGGATTACAATGTGTATATACATGACAAAAATTCAATGCCATAGACATACAACATATATAGACTGACACAGAGGCAATTTAACATTCCAACTATTTGGCTTAATGATGGTATGCTCGATTCCAGCCACCGGGGGAGCTGTTGCGTCACTGTCCACTTGTGACACTGTGTCCTTGATAGAGTACTTTCTCATTCTTACGTACACTGCTGGAAGGTTTTATGGTGTCGTAAATTAAATTAGCCTCCCTGCATGTTTTTTTTCTTGTTGTTGTCAGGAGTCACTTCTGGTGTGAGAGAATTGGCCGTCTGCAAGGATGTTGTCCCGGGGACGCCAGGGTGTTTTGATGTTTTACCATCCTTGTGGGAGGCTTCTCTCATGTCCCCGCATGGGGAGCCGGAGCTGGCAGAGGGAGCTCATCCATGCTCTCCCTGGATTCGAACCTGTGACCTATCATCTTCAGTCCTGCCAGCACAAGGATTTAACCCACTGCACCACCGGGGCTCCATTTTCTGGTTAGGAAGCAACATCTTTGCACAGAAGCAGCATCTCTAGTCCAATTTAATACTACTTTTATTACTACTACCACTACCACTACTGTGCAAAAAAAAATGAATTGTGCACAGAATAGGTCTTACACTGCAAATAATCTTCAGTAACAGCTAAGGTTTCAAGAAATTCTTGGAGCAGGAAGCGAATTGGTAAAATATTTTGAGAATCAATACATTGCATTGAAGTTCTTCATCAGTTCCTACCTTTATTGCAGGTTGGCACAGAAGTGATCTGAAAGGTCCTGGGACCTTTGACAAGAATCTTCAAGACTGCCATTCTTATTGCAAGCATTTTGGAATAATGATGAGAGAATTTACTAGTGTACTCTATGTACTCTGCCATCTAGCTTCATAATGATGTTGTAATTATACACCTTTTTTTCCATAAGGCAGAGAGATGTTGTCTACTCATTTCCAAAATGCCTTTATAAGTGACATCCATCATATTTATTGCAGCAAGTGAAATCCCCAGCTGCTTGGCAAAAGATGGAAACCATATTCAAACAGCTTTCAAAGGAATTAGACCAGAAGGAGGACAGTGAAAATCCAGATGTTTTTGGACTCAAATCCCATCAACACCTGGCAACTTGCCTAGTCATTCAGGCTTGATGGCATCTAGGGTCCAACAGTGAGCTGTCAACATGTTTCTCATCCCTGGATTGCCAAAATATATGAAGATCAAATCTAACCACAGGTTAGGTGAAATTCTCAGGTTTTGCCTCTTCAGATATGTTGGACTTCAGCCTTCAGACCACTTACCATGTTGGCTGGGCTTCTAAACATGGAATCCCCAAAATCTGAGGAACAAAAGGTTGAGAGCCACAAAGGTACCAAAACTGAAATAATAACATGTTGGATGCTCAAGATCAAGAACGATAAGATAGTTTCATAGAATTGGAAGAGACCACAAGGAACATCCAGTCCAACCCCCTGCTATGCAGAAAAATACAATGGAAGCACCCCACAACAGATGACTATTCAGCCTCTATTTTAAAACTTCCAGAGAAGGAGACTCCATCACACCCTGCATATTCCACTGTCTAACACAGTGGTTCCTAACTTATGGTCCATAGACCACCAGTGGTCTGCAAGAATGAAAATATGGTCCATGGCCTCAGCATTACTATACCATTGCCTCGAAACCATGTGGAAACAAGAGCGACTGGTCTCTTGAAACCCTCTTATAGTGCCGAGGCAGTGGGGATGTTGGGAGAGGCTGACTACTCATGAAAGATTACCACTACTACATCAGCTCTAGATTATTAAATATGGGCGAGCAGATGGTAACTATTGGATGGCATATGTTCAGTATCAAAAACTAGAGCTGATGTGGTCTATCCAATGCAATTTTCTGAATCAGCACCCCAAATAACCAAGTCAGATCTAAAATTGACCAAAAACTGATTCGTAACACTTTTTCTTGAATAGTGGTCCCTAGTCAAAATGGTCCCTGGTCAAGTGGTCCTTGGTCACAGCGATCCCTGGTCAAGTGGTTTCTGGTCAAAGTGGTCCCTGGTCAAAAAAAGGTTGAAAACCACTGGTCTAACATCTCTTACCATCAGGAAGTTCTTCCTAATGTTTAGGTAGAATATCTTTTTCTGCAATTTGCATTTCTGGGCAAGCGGGTATGTCAAAGGCCAATAGCCTCTCTCAGATGGCAACTGGATGGCTTTCATCAACAAGTCATAAAAAGTGGCAAATTCAGAGTAAACATAGGGATGTCCCAGTGTGTAAGCCAACTAGGATTGCCATGTTTCTATCTTCTGACCTATCATGCCAGCAGCCCAGTAATGTAGGTCTTCCCTTTTCAGCTAGTACCTGGAAACAACTAGTTGCAAATAACTACTTGGTTTATATTTATAAAAAAAAAATCTTGTCGTCTCTAAAAGGATCACAGGGTGGCACACAGTAAAATTAGTTTAATCACAGAATTCAAGAGTTGGTACATGTTCCATTGTGTGTTGGTGAAAACAAGATAGTTGGCAGAAAAGTGGGCTAACCATTTGTAGAATGCAAGTTAGAAGTGAACTCAAAACCGCTTTGTAGATACCTCAGAGAAACATGAGAATAAAGAATACTTTTCTAAGATTCTCAGCTGTAATGGCATCCCACTGTTTCTTTGGGCTTGAAAGTGTAGCTATAAGGACTTACTTTTAAAGACAACTTTCCAAACTCTTGTTTGAGCCTGACAATATCCAAGAATGGAAACTAATCCACAGGCACTCATACATAATCCTGAAATATCAGTACTTATTCTGTAGTCTAACAGCATCTCTGAACTATAATTCTTTGGTTGCCAAGCATTGGCAGTCATTTCCTTGTCTAGAAAAGGAAATATTAAGTACATCAGAACTTGGTGCTTGCAAGTGCACGAGTTGGGAGTTATTCTCAGAGCTGTCTATATGTTTCCAAAGCCTTGCTAAGTTTTGAATGCCGATCTTAAACACTGCAATTCAACTTGAAATTGCTCCCAACTGCAACAGTGAGAATATTAAACATTCATTTCATCACTTGATTCAGATGTGTAAGAATGACCCATGAAAATTCAGAATGAAAGACAATGAATCCAAAATAACAGTCGTTTCAAAGGGTGAGAAGTATTAAATATTTTTCTTGGTCGTAATCCAGATTGTATTAGAAGCTACTTTACAAGAAAGAAGAATTTCAGATGATAAGATCAGCTGGATCAGACCAAAGGATTATTACCCTGCAGATATTTTGACTGCCATTTCAGTAATTTCTTATTAATGGACAGGTTCATATCCAACAGAAGACAACCATAAGAAGGGCCCCAAAATGCCTCATGGACAACATGGGCTTGCTTTGCCATGTTTTGGTCCCATTTTAGTCCCTAGAGGCCTTTTCTGCAATAGGAAATAAAAGAAAAAAGAGAACTATGGGGCTCCAAGATGTTATTTTATTTTTGAATTTTTCCTGAGAGGGAAAAATATTTTCCTGAGAGGGGCAAATGCAGCCCCCTAGGTCCCCACACTTGTCCATCCCATGTGTGCAGTAGGCATGTGCAAAAATGGAAAGTGTCATAAGTCAGATCAGTTTCATAATATTAGTACTTACAACGCAATATCTGACGCATACACGCAAAAACTAAGAAATCGTTTTCATTTTAGTTTAGCTTCCAAAGTCAGTTATATATTCAGTGCAAGGAACTAACACTCAAAAAGTAAAGCCAAAAAGGTTGCCTCAGTGCCTGCCTTGCCTTTTCTCTGTAAATTAATGAGAAGGGAACAGAGGGAGAAGTGTTTTCTGGGAACAGCACAGAACTCTGGGAAATGTAGTTTGGAAAGGGAGGAGCCCTGTGCCAGAGAATACAAAAGGCCCTGCCCTAAACTACATTTCCCAGAATGCTCTGCACTGCTCAGCATCAGAAAGATTTGCCCCACTGTAACCAACTAGAGTTACAATAAATTATGGTTTTTGTTCCTGGGTTATAAATGCCATTTCCTAATTGGTTCTATCAGAACAACGTGGCAAAACTTTATTAAACTGCAAAAACGTTGTCTTTGCATGAGGGACATCGTGTTATAGCACATTTTTCTGTAGTCTCCAGTGCGCCAATTTAGCATCCACCCATTTAACAAAGATTTTGGTGCAAAAATAAAGTTCCCAGTGTAAGAACCACTACTTTCAAAGTAAGGACTACACAATTAAACAGGAAATAATACTTCCAAGCTAGGAACATATACCCCTTAATATTTTTAAAAAATGTTGTTTATAAAAACTTCCCTAAAGTCCGTGGATAAGTGAAACTTTCTGAAATGGTGGACTAAGAGTGGTAAATGTATTATACCATTGTAGTGAGTTTCACCACAACAGCTGTAAAAATGAGGGAGAAAGGGAGCCCCTGATTTCCCCAATTATAGTAATTATGAGCAATTACTATAATGAAATATTAACAAAATTTTGTTACTCTCATTATAGTAACAATTTTTCACTAACTATAGTTTAGAAACACTTTAGAAATGAAATGCCAGCCCCCCCCCCTTTTTGCAATGACTTTTGAACCATTTTAATGGATTGCACAATACTCATGAATTAGCAAGTCATTTTTGCACAGAGGTCCATGCTAATCTTCTCTGTATAATTTCAATGGCTGTATATGTGCTGTTGAAACATTCCATGTTTTGATGATGATTGGAAAAATAAAACCATTTTTTCAACACCCTAAGGCTTTATCTCTTCTCTCCATTGGGTTTTACCTGTCTCCATTGCTTTTTGCATATTTATGAACACCCGAACCCTTAGGTCCAGAGTAATGACACAACATATGTAGCAAAACAGGAAGGTTAAAATTAATTGCTGTACTACAAAGATTTAACTTTGCAGAGGGCATTTCAAAGCCACTCAGACTTGTGACTAGTATTAGGGTTAATGAGTGTAGCCTTAATAGGTCACTCCACTGAAGTCTAATGACTGGTAATCACCAACAATGTAATTAAATAAGGGTTACACCAGACATTTATTAAGCAGACACAAGAATTCCTAGGCCATTGAATAAGGTACTGTTACTAATTGCCACCTTCTTTACTATTTTAATAGGATGCTAATAGCTAGAACAACTAATGCCAAACCCTGTCTCCTTTCTGGTAACAGATATGAATCCTATAGCAGCAGTGCGTCAAGACTTTTTCTTTCTGTAAAAAAGATATGTATGTGTTAGTTTTGAGTTAAGATACTTACAGATCCCCAAAGGCACAGCATTCATTAACATGCTAACCACTTTCCCAAGTAGGACATCCACGCTGTCACACCCACGCATCAAGATGTGGAAAAACGCTGGCCATTAAAATATGCTCCAAGGTGCTATCGCTAGTTCTTGTGGGTCAAAGGATTCAATTTTTATGCACATAATTCAACATCCCCTTAAAGCTTTTGTTCCTTGTACAAGTTCAAAGAAGCGTTTTCATATGGTTCTGCGATTCAAAGGATTTTTAAAGCTCAAAATCAAAACCGATCCTTGAAGCAGTCATTCCCATTGAACATAACCAAGCTTCTTCTGACAGTTAGAGAAGAGCACAATTTTCCAGTTGGCATTGCACGTATAGTAAGACAGAAGCACCAATGAGTCCAGTAAATGTGTCACAGCTGTAATGATTACTTTCATACTAAAATGGAGAGAAGGGATGCAAGGATGTGCTAGAATGAAATACATCTGAAAACTTGCTACGCACCATGAAGTCCACAATTTCAGCTAGTCCTTGAGCCATTGACTCAATTGTATACCTATATGATGACTCACCAATCAATGCCAGCCTCTGTTGTCCTGATAACCTAAATCCTGCCCTTAGAAAGATGTTGTGCTGTCACACCCAAGCTGCTTTTAAGGTCTCTTTGGCATTAACATGTCTTAACTCTCTGTCAGCTTTGGGAATGCTGGGTTGCCTTCTTTTGGAACAAAGAACTCCACATAATTAATGTCCACACTGTTGCTTTGAGGTCACGATTTATTAACAGATCTTGGGTCTACCTCCATCCAGGCACTAGCTTGATTTCCCCACAACAAAGTTGCTATTTAAACTTAAAAGATAATTGAATGATTCTGAAGCTACCAGACATGGATGTTTCTGAGGAGAATAGATGACAGTTTCCCCTGCTTTCAGTTTCTGGTATAGGGGCCTCTGAGGCATCCAATACCCACTCATTGTTTAACTAATTTGTTGAAATACTGGTTGTCTTTGTTAACTGGTCTGAAGTAACTGGTTGTAAATAATATAACTGATTATAATTACAACTGGTTATGAAGTACAACTGTTTATGAAATACAACTGGTTATATAGTATTGACTGGTTATATAGTATTAACTTGAAATGGCTTTTCCAAGCCGAAAATTTGGGACCAAGTGAAGACACGTCCTACCTCAAGGATTCCCTCATGGTCTATGATCTAAAATGGCTACCTCAGGCAAAGGGACGTGGCCAACTAACTGACACAAGTGGCTCCTTTTTCCTGAGGCAAAGGGCAAACAAAATGGCTGACACAAATCAGGAAGGGTTTTCTTAAACTCCATCCTCATAAAAACTAAAATAAAAGTAGCTGCTCTAAAACTATGGGCAAGGAAGCCACGCAAAGGGATGTATTGTGTATTGTGTAAAACGAGAGGGAAAGTTAATGAAATATATAAAGCACCAATTGGTTTTTGGCAAATGGATCAGGCTGCGGAGGTGGTACCTGATGTTTTTGCTTATCTTCTAAAACCTGGCTCTGAAGAAGCATTCATGGAAACAGCTAATATTTGTGATTTCTGAGATCACATCAGACCACAGGATCTATTTCATTCTGATCTAGCAGATTTTGATTAGAAATGGCAGTGCAGAAACCAGGGTTTTGATCCAGAAACACGTCCAATTAAAGCCTACTGGAATTTAATCATCTCTTAGTTTTCAAATGTAATTAGCTACCAAAAGCAGTTGGGTGAGACACACTTTAGCTATGCTCAGAATCTTAGGGACACCTTTGGCTTTCATGTGTGTGATTCTTTTGCTTTCAAAAGAGCCTTTCTCACCCTGATGGAGCTGGGGGGGGAGGGAGGTTTTTGCCACCTCCACCACGGAAGAGGTAGGTCCAAAAGTAGTCCCTCAGGGACTACTTTTGGGGAGGGCTGAGCCACAGCAGGCAAATTGCCCCCATCAGTTCCAGAGCAAACGGCAACCTGACCCTTTCGCCCATTAACAATATAACTGAGGTGGTCACCCTTGGGGGCCAGGTAAGAATTTTCGCCTTCCTAATTTCAAGGGGGGGATTACCTACCCTATACTGTTCCAGCAGGGCAAATTGGGAGGTAAGGGCCATTAAATAGGCATACCCAGAAGCAGCAAAGGAATTGAACTCAGTACACAACCAAGGCACCCATTTTGGTTGGCATTTTGGTAGGAAGGAAGTCCTGGGAGAAGGTCCGTAAGTATGCTGCCTGGAGGCTCCTCTTGGGCCCATTCCCCCGATGGCACAAGGGTCCTGCAGTGCCATCCTGCATGGCTAGGGTCTCTGCGCAGCCACAGGTCTCTGCGGTGCCATCCTGCATAGTCTTCACAGGAGAGGGTGGGGGTCCTTGATTGTGGCCTTGCCGGGCTCCATCCCCCCCCACCCCCACTCCCACTTCCTTAACCATGACCATGCCCAATCCATTGTTTGCTGCAGCTCCTGCAGTGCCATCCATCCCCACCCCCTGCTTCTTTGGGGGGGGGGGGGTGACTTTAATAAAAGTTGCCCTTAGTTAACCCATTAATGTGTGTTGCCTCTTCATTTGCAGGGATTGTGCGGCAAAATGTAAACGTGTGTATCTCCCCTATGAAATCACATTGGAAAGTGTCCTTAGTTTCCAAATTGGTATATGAACTGTGGGAAGGGGGCTATTGCATAGAATGCCTTAAGCCAAAGTCTCTTTGGACACACACAAATAGGTATGTATATCTACGAATCTCAATGTGAAGTATTTCAGTCCCTACTAGGCAAAATTTAGAGTACTGTATAATTGTATTCACAACTGAATGGCTCATACTTTGAGATGTGCTTACACATTAAACACATGTTGAGGTGAGATGCACCTAAGGCTGGGAATCACAGTGCCCGAGACAGATGTTGCAGGACTGAAATTCCTAGCATCCCTCACCACTGGGTGCACTAAGTGGGATTACTAGGTTTTCTAGTAAACCTTCTGGCATCTGTTTAGTGCTGAAACCTTAATCTTAGCTTTGAACTATGTCCATTCATAGTCAAGCCCAGCATCTGCCAACATGGTATTTTCTGAACTTGGCTACTTCCCTTCTTCCTGGAAAGCTACCCTAGAACAAGCCTGTAGGATTTTTTTTCCTTTGCCCAGCCAGCTTTGTGGCTCAGAGATTAACACTGCTTCAGTGGGAAATCAATTTTCTGCTAGCCTTGCGTTGGCTCAAAGATAAGAGAGACCTACTGTGGCCAATGAATGGCTGACTTTCTAGAAGGGAGGTGAACTGCAGAAATTTAGAAAATTTGATCCAACTTTCCAGACACCTTTTGCTATTTTCTATTTCTCCAACCAGCTTTTTTGCCTTTTTTTGTGTTCTGGATCCTATAATCTTTTAGGTTTTGTCATTTTCTTGTTTAACTATTACCCCTTTTTCCTTCATTCCTCTTTTTTAGTTTTTCTTCTTGATGTTATAGATTTTAGTTCCAAAGTGAATCCAAAAGAGTACAATATATTTTAGCTAAGAATTCATGTTAGTCAGCTTATCAATATTTTATCTAAAGATCATTCCGCTACTGCTTTTGTTTTATTTTGTTTTTCCCACCATCTTAAGATTTTTATTTTTTCAATGTTAATGAATAGGGTAATCCATAATTAGAGTAGAAATACTGCTATTAATGGGATGAGTGAGGGTATTAAAGCAAATCTCAATCATTTCATTGATGTATTTGCTATAATATCCTCACTCATCCCATTAATAGCCGTTTTTATTTTTGCTATTTTTTATTCTCAGCAGTTGGGATGGTTTTCAGCAACTAGCAGATGGGTCAACTTGTGTCTGAATTTGGATCCATTCTGGGTCAAAGCCTCTCTTGAGGAAGGGAGACTCCACTTGCCACTGAACTTGAATGCCTACTATATGTATCTACCTGTCAGTACTTAACATTGTCAGTGCTTAACATGATACAGTAAAGCCATCTGCCCGTGCACTTTGCTACTCTGCTGCCGGAACACATTTCACCACACTAAAACAGTGGATGTGGCTCTTAATGAGACATGCTGCATTATCACAGGATGTCTATGCCCTACACCACTGGAGAAATTATACTGTTTAGCCAGTATTGCACCATCTGACATCTGCTGGGAAATAGCAGCCAACAATGAAATGACCAAGGCAGTGACATCTCCAGCCCATCCCCTGTTCGGATATCAGCCATCACACCAACACCTTAAATCAAGAAATAGTTTTCTAAGATCTACAGAGACACTCGCTAGAACACACCAGCAAGTGAGAGTCCAAAAGTGGCAGGCTCAAACCCAGAACCTCAATCAATGGCTGATACCAAATGAGAGACTCCCCCCTGGGCACACAGAAAACTGGGCGACTTGGAAGGCGCTGAATAGACTGCGCTTTGGCACCACGAGATGCAGAGCCAATCTTAAGAAATGGGGCTAC